CACTATCCTCACATTCCTGAATCCACCATTACCATTAATGTGTGAATTCTCTCTTGCCTCCTACATGTTCATATTTATGCAAAGGATATTCTACAACCTTAACACTTGCTATATTAGTAAATTATGCATTTTTTTTTTAAATTAGTGTCCTTATTCATATAAATAATAAATATTGATTAAGTAGGTACAGCTTATTCAAGTGAAGGATCGAAAGCAACGGGATTGAGCTCGCAATGGTCTATACCAATACGAAAATATGATGCAGATATGCTGCCAATCCCTAGGACTACAAAAGAATGCCTCGCCTTCAGTTTAAAAAATCTACCTTCTCCTCTTGAACTGATTTTTTTCTTGCAGAGTCTAAGCGTAGCAAACTATATACCCTATAAAAGATTTTTCTCTTGTTTTATAAAACTCTTAGTGAGATTTCTCTCTCGCAGAGTCTAAGCGTAGCCAACCCCTACAAAAGACTTTTCTTTTATCTATGTTTGTATTATGTATATAGCTATCATATTATGGTAACCGTATGAAAAATACAACAGCGAAATGTTTCTATAGTATTTACTCGTAGTGAATACTATTTTCTTACCCGATCAAGTCGACCCACTCGCACTGCGGCCATTACACAGATGCAGCGTGACTTTGCCAAGAAATAGCGGAAATTTAACTTGTTTCAGTTTTCAATAACAATAAAAATATAAGTAATTGCTGCAACGGGTAGTGCCTTCCTCTTATATCGAAGAGAGTTACCAAGACTTTTACTCTATAAGGCAGAGAAATGTTCTCCCAGTTGCCCTTATGCGAGCGGCAGCCATCACACATTTATTTACTCATAATGTAAACATATTCTACGGTCGATATCATGCAATTAGGAAGTTAAGAATTTTTTAAACATTCAGTACAACGTTTGAATATGCTCTTGAACCATTGCCGGAAGTATTTTTTTAACCACCATGCTTGATACGGAGACTGGTGATTCCGGTCGTTGTTGTCTGTAGCGTTATACGACAGTAAAGTCAAAATTGAAATAAACATATTTCATATTGTTAATAACAATACAAATTTACTTAATATTGTATAACTATTTACTTATTTGGATCTTTCTAATACTCATAGCTTATTTATAGTACAGTACAACCGTAACTAAATTCATCAAATTAAGTTTACCAAACCTAACACACATAACACTAGTCACATCAGGATACACAAGAATTACATCGAATATATACAAGACGATTATACTACCATTTATATGAAGCAATAATATCTGTTATTTCCCATACTAGTCTCTACAATACCCGCAGGATGATTCGGGTTATTCGATACATGCTTTTTCGCGCGTCACCATACGATCATAAATTAATAATATGTAAAAGTAAAGTAAAGTTACAGCCTACATACGTCCCACTGCCGGGCACAGGACTCCCCTCATTTCTGAGAGGGTTTTAGGGCAAGAAAATGCCCGCCGCGGTGCCCCAATGCGTGTTGGAGAACTTCACATGTCTTCAAAATATTTTTTCCTTATTCCTCAGGCATGCAGGTTTCCTCACGATATTTTCCTTCACCGCCGAGCACGTAGTAAATTGTAATTAACAATTTCATTGATGCCGGCGGGGATCGAACCTGGTTTACTTGGGTTCTGTTATATTTATAGCTAGCGTTAACCATCTGAGCTACCACGGGTCTAAACTAATTTCTCTTATGGCTCTAAATTAATAATATATAACTAAAAGTAATTTCTCGCTGACCAAATTGTTTGCAGTAATATTTCCAGAGGTTATTAGAAGCTTCACATGCCTGTCTATGTAGTTTAATTAAGGAGATGTAACTTTGTGATTGTGACTCTGCTTTACATAATCAGGAAAAATCATACAACCGTTTTTATATCAATGTTGGGGCAAATAGTTTAACAAAACTCCGTTATTTTTGACAATACCCGCACTTTATTTCAATCGCTCACATGCATTGTAAATGTAGCTTATAAAGTAGATTCTATACATAAATATTATATATTATATTTAATTAAAATTTAATCACGTGGATAGCCATGCATAAGACGGAATTTATCGAGAAGGACATGGTGGGATACAAGGTGTCAGTGGAGAATGTTCAGTTGAACACGGTGGTTGGTACAAGGAAACGACCGCGCAGCCTGAAGTCCTAAAACGAGACGGAGGGTTTGGTTGGAAGCAGATGATAGGTGGACTCGGTACTGTAATGCTGGGAGGTTTCACAACTAGCAATTGCGGTGCTGGTGGCTGTATTGGAGGTGGTTGTACCTGAAATTTGTTCATAAAATATTTTGTCTCTAAAAAGGAACATAATAAAAATTCACATTGGCAAATTCATTTGAAACGATTAATATTATTAAAAAATACACATGATATTCAAGAAGTATCAAAAATTCATACTTTAATCGGAGCAGGCTTTGGTGGTTGAACCGGCGCAGGTTTAACCACAATCGGAGCAGGCCGAGGTGGATACACAGGCTTAGGCCTGACTTCAATTGGTGCTGGGGTAGGCGGTTGCACTGGGTCTGGCTTCACGTATATTGGAGCTGGGGCTGCTGGTTGAACTGGTGGTGGTTTCACCCATATTGCAGGCGGTGTGGGCAGACGGATAGTTCCTGGTCGGACAACTATTGGAGAAGGTGCCCGAAACCGAATTTGACCAGGTCTTAAGATCAATGAACCTGTTGTTATCAAATTTAAATATATTACTTCATATTATTTGACTTTCTTTTGGTGGTTTTTAAATAATTTAGTTTGGATGAAACACTTTTATCCTCACCTTGGGGTGCTTGACCATACAAATAGTTAACAGTTGGCTCACAAGGATTGCAAGGTCCAATCTTCAGTACGTCATTGTCATTAAAACACGGAGGTGAGCATGGATCACAAGGAGCACATGGAGGTTCTGGCTCACAGGGTTCACAAGGGGGATTCTCAGTGTAAGAAATTTGAGGATCTGGATCAGGTATCGGTTGACTTAAAGTCGTTCCCAAAATAAGAGCTATAAAATACAAAATAAAATAAATAGTTATATCCTATTAAGAAACGCAGTGACTCAACTAGTCTGTCATTAAAGGTCATTTTATCTGGCATATGTACGCAACATTAAAAAATACTCGAACACTACCGGGAATTTTGATCGTAATTTAAAGTTTAAAAACTTTGTATTTTTACGCATTTCGTTAAAAAGCCGAGGATTGATGAAATCTGCTATCTACATTGGAGCAGCGGACTCTTATCTGCTTCATAACCTTCTAGACATCAGAATTTGGATACTAGCGGTATTTTTGATCTAAAGAAAAGACGACAGAAAGACTTTTAATCTAAAGAAATAAATATGTTTCCTCCATAAGAGGAACATAAAAATTTGTCATATTAAAATAAAATTGAAACAACAATAATTATAATTACCTGTTAACCAAACTACTTTACCCCACGCCATCTTGCGGTCGTCTGATTATAAAAGTAAAATTTTCAATATATATACATAGTACGAATAAAATGTTTATATATTTAAATGTAATCAAACTTCGCAAATGTAGATTTTAAAATAAATTATGTAACGCTTTAATTGGCATAAGTTTCAAGGTTTTGAAAATATTGTAAATATTTTTTTCTTTGAATGTAATATTCAGAAATGGTTTGTGAATATAACATGAAATATTTTCATATTGTCTTAATCAATTCATCACGTTCAAGTAGCATTTCATGCAAAGGTTATATTTTGAATAAATACGATAATTCTATTCTTGAAATAAGCTATGATCGCATTAATCAAATTTTGTAATTGAAACTTTTTTCAAAGTTTTTCTATATCCATCTCCTTGCTTAATAATTGTCGTCCCAAATTGTAAATTGCTTCTGTACCACTGAGGTGTTTTTGAGTATATAAATGCATGTAGAGAAACATCTAGGCCCGAGAAAATTATTTGTAGACAATACAAATATATGCTGCTCTGGGAGGAAACAAAACACGCGACGTCACAGCGTCGCAACTTAGTAATTACCATTGGCCCTTTATCAGTCAACCCGAAAACTTCGCTATACTAGCGAATGACCAATGCTATAACTATAATATAGTTGTAGCACGGCTCTACCACGTAAAATAATTTAGTAAAATAAATGTATTTAATCAATTAAGCAAAACATAAAACAAAGTTTGACCTTGTCCGGCGATAAGGCATGATGGAGCATCAAACGTATATCAACATTTTTATTAAAGAAAGCATATAAAAAGACAGTAGAAAACGGTAAAGAAAAAGTTGGTAGGCATGGGGTTCTCTACGCTCTTTGTATTTGGTAAGCAGTGCAACAAATTCGTTTTTAATTAACAATTGTTCTATTTAGGAAGTAGGACTTCTTTTGTGCCTAGGGGTGCTCTGAGTGCCTACTCAGCAATACACAGGTTGTCAGCTATTTCTACGACCAAGCAGAATTGCGTGCTCTGCCTTGCTCCGGCCTAAAGGGTATAGAGAGCCAGTTTAATTGCAGACTGGAAGACATTCCATGTTAGTCCTAAGAGATGAAAACGCATCTATAGACTTTTTTGTTTGAAGTTTGTTGCCAGTGTCTATATGCTGCATTAGCTACTTACCAACTAGTGGACTGTAAGCCCGTTTTATTTTTCTTTCATACATAACAGCCCATTAAAAGTCAACTGCTGAAAAATAGGCCTCCCATATATGCCATAAGCAGTTGAAGATAAGACGAAATACAATGTCACAGAATGGTTCGTTACAATGACACTCAAACGCATTTTGTATTGATGTTTTAACTCAAGATGTGTGTATGTTTACACGCACCGGTATAACTATGACAGTAAACTGAAAATGTTGAGATTTCATGACCTTATGAGAAATATTTAATTATCAATTCAATGTATTGTATGAAAGAGAGACAATTTTAGCAAATTTTTAATTAATTAAATTTTAGCTCTCCTCGGATATGTATCAGCGGCACCGTGGAGATGCTACCGTACCGCCTGTGGGGCTACCGTATGCATTGGAAAGCTAGGAGAGCCTTGCATCTGTCCACCGTCGATATGCATTCCGCGGCTAGTCCCACCTTGCGTCGGACCTGCCCTTGTGTACACACCACCATGTATACCACCCTGCTCCTTACCTTGTCCACCGTGCCCCGAACCTTGTCCACCGTGTCCTGAACCTTGTCCACCGTGCCCTGAACCTGGTCTTCCGTGCTCTGAACCTTGTTTCGAACTAAGCCCACCGTGTTATACTCCATCGCCTTGCTATTAACCATCCGCTGCACCTTTATTATATAAATTTTATTTTATAAAATTTATATAATAAAGGTGTATAAAATTGTATAAAATTGTATAAAATTGGCTAAGTAAAAATTAAATTAATAAATGTTTCTGTAATTCCTTGGCGTGTTTTATTAGGTATGATTCACTAAACCTACCACTTTAATTTATATTTAAAAATATAATATATATTTTTACCCCTTACGGATAAAGAATGGGATTATATATGGCGACTCATCGAGCATGCATCGTCAGCATGCATAATACAAATAACGAAAAACCGCTAATAACGGTATATCGTTATTATGTTAATAAAAAATTTATTTATTCATTTGGTTAGTCGTTAATTTTCTATTAATAGGAAGTGATTTGAGTAGAATTATATACACAAATAAACACATTAATATTAAAATAACATTTATAACCAGTGACCTGCGCTGGTGTCGCTTGGATATAATTGAACTATTAATAAGTTTAGATTAGTAAGTAAATTATTCACGATGACTAAAATGTGGACGTGAGACGGACAGGCAAAAAACTCTATTCGACAAATATTCGACATGTGATAGACGAAACAATAATAAAATAAACTTACTTGTCACTTTGCCAATCATTGATTACCTACTGCATAGCAGCTTGGGGTGGTACCTCTGAATCACTTGCCCAAAGAGCACTTCTTAAGGTGAGTCACTTCTTTCCATTTCTCTATCCGATTAAAGACCTATAACAAAGCTGTAAAGTTCTCAAAGTCCGCCAATTAATTAGTCTCCACACTATTTTAAAATACAATCCTTCTCTACTTACAAATAAAAGAAATAAAAGTAAAATTTGTCCCATTTTACCATACAAAAGAAGCTTCACGCATAATTTCTTCTGCTTCTTGGGTCCTCATCTATATAATAAAATTAATTCCATTCTATGTATATACAAATGTCCCAAATTTAAATGCAAAAAGATGGTACTATGGTTACTAAGTCAAGATTATGAAACGACTGAGGAACTACTAAAAATCATGAAATAAAACCTAAACGCTATAAATACAAGCACATACGCACGCACGCACCTACACACACACACACAAACACACACACACACACACACACACACACACACACACACACACACACACACACACACAAACACACACACACACACACACACACACACACACACACACACACACACACACACACACACACACACACACACACACACACACGCACGCACGCACATACACACGCAAAACACACACAACGTTTTTCGTATATATTTTTTTCTTCTTTTGTTTATCATACACCTTATATTACCGAGATTAAAAGTTGGTCTGAAGGTGGGGGCTGGTGATCTATCATACAGGGAATCCTAGTATGGACACCAGTCTCTCACAAATTAACTATAGCATATTAATATTAAGTTGTGTTTATATTTATTACTAAATTTGTGAGAGTAAAGAATAAACATATTATTATTTGGGGGTTATTGATAGAGTATTCTCATCTGGTTGAGCTGGATAATTATATAAAAGGAAATGATATATATATATACATAAATATATATTTAATATACTAACGTAAATAAATAAATAATACATAAATAAATAAAAGCCCAACCAGATGAAGCCCTCGGGGGAGAACAAACGGCTGAGGGTTAGGGGGAAGGGGAAGAAACCGGTGGACGATGCGGGCGGTATCGAGAAGCACCGCCATCTGCATTTTAGCCCGGAGCGGTCCGTCACGGAGTCCCAGTCACCTCAGATGACCCGACTGGGATTAGCCCATTCGCAGAGACGACTACAGGAACAATTTCGGTCGGCAGAGCACCCCACATGTCGGTCGCCTCGTGAGCCAGGTCCAGATATTTTGATTGCTTATCTTTTTCGGCTTTCACGAGGCTCTCGTCATACGGAATGGTAATATCGACCAAAAATATCCTTGACTCTGCCCGGTCCATCAGCACAATATCAGGCTTATTCGCAAGAATAGTCCTGTCGGTGATGATGGCCCGGTCCCAGTAGAGCCTAGCGCGGTCATTTTCGATTATAATTATGTGGGGTATCTATATAGTTTTCTCATCTGGTTGGGTTCTATAAATATAAAATTATAAATTAAAATGAAAAGATAAAGATACATAAATATCAATAAAATAAAATGAATACATAAATAAATAAAAGCCCAACCAGATGAAAGCCCTCGGCATGGGGAGACCAAACGGCCGAGGGTTAGGAGGAAAGGGAAAGAAACCGGCGGACAATGCAAGCGGTATCGAGGAGCACCGCCTTCTGCATTTGAGCCCGGAGCGGTCCGTCACGGAGTCCCAGTCACCTTAGATGACCCAAGAGGCTGACTGGGATTAGCCCATTCGTAGAGACGACTACAGGAATTTCAGCCGGCATAACACCCCACATGTCGGTCACCTCGTGAGCCGGGTCCAGATATTATGTTCGTTTATCTGTTTGGGCTTTCACGAGGTTCTCGTCATACGGAATGGTAAAGTCCAAAAATATCCTTTACTATGCCCGGTTCATCAGCACAATATCAGGCTTATTCGCAAGAATAGTCCTGTCCGTGATGATGGCCCGGCCCCAGTAGAGCCTGGCGCGATCATTTTCGAGCACGGCTTCCGGCAAGTACTTGTAATACGGAAATTTCCGGTCCACGAGACCGTATTTCAGACCGAGCTCCTGGTGTAGAATTCTGGCTACTAGGTTGTGCCTGTGCAAGTACTCAGAGTTAGAAAGCGCCGAACAACCGGAGATGACATGCCTAAGTGACTCCCCGGGATGGCGACAAGCTCGAAGGATATCTAAGTGCCATCCTTTAGGATGCATCTCCGAAAGTTGTTGGTCTCAATAACCTGATCCTGTATTGCACAGACAAAACCCTCGGTTTCCCCGAAGAGGTCACCGAAACGTAGTCAGTTGAGGGAGGCAACTGTATCTACGAAGGGCTCATGTAGAGCTCTGTAGTATCTCCCATGGAGCTCCTTCTCCTTCCATACGGCCGGCCTCCCGGTCGGAAATGCTAAGAACTGCTGGGTCCTGCCATTGCTCGTTGGCTAAGGATAGAGGGGTAAACCCTTTATCACTAGAAATAACGTCATTTTAGAATGGATCATCCGATCTCGCCAGGAAGTAATGACGGAGTCTGCACACTTCGCGATTATGCATGGTGAGCGCGCTCAGGAAGCCACGCCCTCCATGCTTTCGCGGCAAGTACAGCCTCATTACCGATGATCTCGGATGATGCATCCTATGGGACGACATGGTAGTGCGGACTTTTCTATCCAGGGCGTTAAGTTCAGTCTGACTCCACCTGAGTATGCCATAGGTATACATGAGGACAGGCATGACCCAGCAACAACAAGCAACAAAAGGCTGTTAAGCACTTTTGTCAAGCGTGCATAAAACACGTCGCAAACTGACTGTTTTATACCAGCTTCATCGATACCGATGTTCTGTGACATACCCAGGTATCGGTATGTTTCAGCCTCGGAAAGGGTCCTTAAGTTGACGGGCATAGATAAGTCTATGCCCTCAGAGTTAGCAACCCTCCCCCTTTCAACATGGAGGACCGCACACTTATCCGTCCCCAGCTCCATTCTAATAGAATTGCTAAATTCACAAGTGATGTTTAGCAATTCCATAAGATGGGAGCGACTGGAGGCGAATAATTTGAGGTCATCCATATAGAAAAGGTGGGTCACTTTTGTGCCTCCTTTCCGTAGCTGAAATCCCCTCCGGGATCCCTCCAGTAAGGTACTGAGAGGGTTCAGAGAGAGGCAGAACCAGATTGAACTCAGACAATCGCCCTGAAGGATACCACTTTTTATCCTTATGTGGTTCTCCGCAGCCATCATCCGCTCACCCAGATGACAAAGGATTGTACTCCACGGCCCCATAAATTGCTCGAGGAAGTCTCTAACTGTACAGTCTATCATGTACAAATCGAGGACTCTCTTTAGCCATGTATGGGGCACCGAGTCGAATGCCTTTCTGTAGTCTATCCAGGCGGCGGTGAAATTTGCCAAGAGTTTCCTTGGTTATTTGGCGTGACTCACCGATTGTGATAAATGGATGTCAGTGTCGTATATAGGTGGGTAACTGCTTTGCCAATGACCGCATCAATGAGGAGTGGTTCCTTGGTTCCACGACCACCGCCCCAATATCCATTTTGAGCGCGTGACATCACCTGATTTAGCTCAAGGTGATGAGTGATTCTCGCGCTCAAAATGGATGTCAGTGTCGTATATATGGTGGGTAGACACGTGATGGGGCGGTATTTGCTCGTGTCTTTGGTATCCTGATCTTTAGGAACCAAGTGAGTGATCCCAGTAGTGAAGAGGCTCGGGAGCGACTTCTGATCGAGAGCCTCTTGAAACTGTCGGGAGAGCACAGCGTGACACACTTTGAACCCCTTCAGCCAGTAATGATGCAGCCCGTCGAGCCCCGGACTTTTCCGGTTCGGGGCCCTACGGACCGCCTCAGCCACGTCTTCCAACGTTATGGTGACGGGGTCCATAGGCGTAACACTCGCACTCTGGCTCGCCACAACTACCATCCAAGGGCTCTCGCTGTGTTTTACGGGTTCTGACCACAGGCCACGCTAAAATGCGACAGTGTTAGCCTGATCCGGTCCTGGGCCCGCTCCACATACCTCTGGTCGCTCCAATGATTTATAGAGTATCTTCTGATCACTCTGGAAGAGACGATTCTGGTTGGACCGCTTTGACCTTTCGGTAAGTCGTCGAATCCGCTTCCCCCAAGCAGCGATTATTTTCTTCAGGTCGTCTATGCGCTCCGTTAGTTTTTGCGTGATATCCGGCTGGGACAAACTGATATTTGTCCCAGCAAACGCCATTCTGACGGTGCGCACAACCCTTGGTCTCTTATTACCCGACCTGAAGCTTGTCAGTCTGCCGATAAGGGCCCTTGCCTTTACGATACGGTCCTCAATTCTTTTTCTCCAGGCTGGGATGGCGTTACTTTGTTTAGTAACGCATCCAGCCATGGGAAGTTTGGCGCCAATTATACGGCAAGCTGCTACTGCGGCGCCAAAAACAATTGAGTCGGTCTCGCAAAGGTCCCGGCTGGCTTCCAAATAGGTTACCAGCATTGGGTTAAGAGCCCTCACGACAGCCCGATTTCGCTTGCTTATGCGGGAGGGGTATGCGGGGGAAGTCGCGGTCGATTTTCGAGAGGCATGCTGCGCGTTTCCAAAATCGCCTCTTCCAATATACTAATTTACTCTAGTTCGTGGGAGACCATTTCATCATCGTCCGAATCAACCACAACTGGAAGATCCATGGCGGCTTCCACGCGTGGATGCTGGTCTGTCGGCTGAGGAGCCGCATCCCCAGCCATAGCCAATTCATTCGATGAGGGAATGGCCTCACGTCGTAGTCGTTCGAGCTCGGCATCATCAAATATTTTCGTGCGCTGATGTACCGAACTCGGTCTGCCAGGTTTTGTTCCGTGACGGGAATTGATGGTTCCAGAACAGCAAAAAAGCAATGCATCCGAGCCCGATACGCAATCCCTGCAGTTTCTCCCCCTTTCACCCTATGGTACGCCCGCAATGCGTTTGCGTTCATATTTTTTGTCTAACGCATGCGGCGCACTCCACTAGCGGCGGATGCCGCTTGACGAGTCCGAGAGGACCCTGCCGACATCAAGCCATCTGGTGGAAATGATGGATGCGGGGGACTGCTAGGTGATATAGCAGCTCCTCGCGCTCGGTTGCCATCCCGCATGCTGTCGCGTCCAGCGCCAGCACCAGACGCGCCCCGGCGACCCCCAGGTAGCGGCCCTATACGCTTTATATTACAATCCATCATCCATTTTTGGGCGCCCATTAACGGGAGACGCCCAGGCCCGGCACCGTTTCATTGTATCATTGTACGGCCGTAAGCACAAACGGGCCTTTGCACCCTAAATACTGCCGAGGCACGGCGCTCACACCTCTTGGCAAGGCGCTGACTGACTGCACTGACGTAGCAGTTTTGTCACTTAACTGTTACGTCAGCGGGCGATGGGGTCGTCACTTCCCTACGCCGTATTATGTTATTATTATTATTATCTATAGACATTAATTTTTTAAATATACGAGTAGTAATATTTGAAAATTAAATTCTGCTACTTGAACCTTCATCAGAATCATCTGAGAACACTTTGATTCGGACATACCATAGTTATCTTCATAATCATTATTAGAATCGGAGCAGCTTTTTCGCAATTGCTGTTCAGCCACGAGGGTATTTTGAGATATGATTGAGATTAACGAACGATTGAAATAACGAAAACTGAATAGCGAATACAATATTTTTGATTTATTTTTTATGGTACGTAGTCTGTTTAGACCATTTATTATAAACAAATGGATAGCTACTAGATAAATTTGTTACTCACCGTCTTTTTTAATTCAATTGACAATCCTGTTACCATACCCGCACTTGCATTACTATATTACAATGGGTGATAACGGTTCAGATTTTTATCTTCCTTAAAATACTTTATTACGTTATATACAATTTTATGAGTAGCACTATTTAGTAATTTCTCGCGTTTATGCTCTATTGTTAACAGAATCTAGATAAAATAATAAAAGAAAAATACCAAATAACATAATAAATAGTCAACAAAAACAAAATAAGTAAGAAGGCTTTACAATAAATAGTAAAAAAAACCAATAACAGCGAATTAACTAAAGTATGAACAAAATCAACAATTATGTTAAAAGCTCTCAGAACGCGTCTAGCTCACAAATTTCCGAAACCGGGATATTTTTTTAGTTTATGGCATTTTATTACCATTTATGCCAATGATAAGTCGGACTAAAGTTATAGCACGTACGAAAAAAGCATATCGCAACATATTTTTTGTAGTCTCTACCGGCGTGTGTGAATATAGATAGCGACAGTGAGCAAGCGAGAGGTAAATAGAGGTGACGTCATTTTCAGTCCCATTATTTAACCGCACGGGTAGTATCTGCATACAATGAATTTCTTCATTTTGTGTAAACAAAGTCATCTCTTTTACAAATTACTGTTATTAAACTTTTTGTTTAACAGTTTGTTATATTATAATCATCATCACTTAACGTTGAAGCTCCATTTTTTAAAAATCAAACTATTATTGAGCCGATTCGGACTGGAGGCGACTAAATCTAGTCCACTTTAATCCCCAGAAGACATAAGTTTGCGCGTTTATCGCTAAAAAAACCCCTTCGTCGTATCTCCTCAGTTTCAAGGCACTCCCTTGTTGCCTCAGCCAGTATTGGAATCCTCGGCGACATATCGACATATCGAGTGACGTGCAGTTTCGTGGTCACTTGGAAGAGGAGGCCAAATTGGCCTCTAAAAAGCTTGGCGTGATCAGCAGAGCAGGACAGTATTTCATGCCGGCTCACCGCCTGCAACTTTACAAGGCGTAGATTCGGCCGCACATGGAATACTGTTCCCCTCTCTGGGCCGGTGCTCCCCAATGCCAGCTCCTTCCATTTGATTGCATCCAGCGCAGAGCTGTTCGAATCGTCGGCGACCGAGCTGTTTCCGAACAGCTTGATTCACTGGCACTGCGAAGAGGTGTTGCATCTCTTTGCGTATTTTGCCGCATCTACCACGGGGAGTGCTCTGAGAAATTGTTTGGCCTAATTACAGCTGCACAATGTCACCATCGAACATCGCGACAAAACTCACAATATCATCCATACCATCTGGATGACTGACGGTCCACTACCGTGCGATTTAAAAGAAGTTTTCTTCATTGCACAACTTCCTGTGGAATCAACTACCACCAGAGATATTTACGGACCGATACGACTTAGGGACCTTCAAGAAAAGAACCTTTTCCTTTTTTAAAAACCGGCAACGCATCCGCCATTCCCCTGATGTTGCAGTTGTTCATGGGCGGAGGTAATCACTTACCGTCAGGTGAGCCGTATGCTCGTTTGCCCCTCTCCTAAAAAAATATATTGTTGTTCGCGTGTGGTGAAAAGGTGTTCCTGTAATTTTAGTTCTTAAAGTTATTAATTTATTCTTTATTTATGAAAACAAAATTAAAGAAAACGCTTAATTTATCTCATCATCATCATCATTACAGCCCTTCACAAGTTCACTGCTGAAAATAGACCACCCCCAAAGTATACCACAAAGCACGGTCCTGAGCCACCTGCATCCATCGACTTCTTGCATGCCTTACCAAGTCATCACTCCATCTAATGGGGGATCGCCCACTACACTTTGCCTACCGGTACGAGGCTGCCATTCGAGAACCTTTACCCCAACGGTTGTCGGTTCTTCGAGCTATATGACCGGCCCATTGCCACTTCAGCTTACTAATCCGTTGGGCTATATCGGTTACCCCGGTTCTACAGAGGATATCCTCATTTCTAAGTATATCACGCAGAGAAACCCTGAGCGTAGCCCTCTCCATAGCTCGCTGAGCGTCCTCATACGGCCAGCAGGTAAGAAGTAATTTATGTAATTAAAGATAATATTACACAGTCATAGTTTGGACTGCCTGGAGCTAAGATTAGAACTATTACGGCTGAGTAAGCTTTAATACGAGGTAGAACAATGCTTCAGGTAAATTATGATTTTTGTCCTTTAGAAATGTTTGTAATGTCCTCTAAGAATCGTACTACATTCTTCATTACAGGCTTAAAGTTAATTCTAATAAACAGTCAATCATCATTATTTTCTAAGACGTGTAGTTAGGCGTTTATTACATTTATATAAATTATCTTAATGTCACTTTGCAAAATCACTTATTAATATGGATAGCTATATGGGAAAATAATAAATACACCAACATTCAGTGATGAAAACTTTTAATACACACATACATACATAAAATAATTGTATTTTGGAATAGTTGATAAATACATCATAAACAGAAATAAGCTACCATTTACAAACAGTTTTACACAATTAATATCTTGTACGGGTATTCTTATACAATGCAATATTAAAATAATAATAAACGATCAAGTACCTTTGGAATTTGCCGTGGGTCGAGTAAGTTAGTAAAATATCTTCTGCATAGCGATTTCTGTAAGAAATTTGCCTTCAAAACTGAATTTCAAAAGATTAAATGACTTGAAATTCCGAAAAAAAAACACAATGTTCATTTTTACAACGTCTTGTGTGATAAGGTTATGATAATCTATAGAGTCGTTTTAATTGCTGAACGCAATTTGTAGGTATGAAATCAAAATTTAGGCTTAAGACGTAGGTATCTTAGGCGCGCGGACTAGAACAGTATGGACAGGAACATGGACCTGGACACGGAACAGTGCAAGGTTCTGGTATACCTGGATACCGTATACTAGGTTCGCCTTTGAAAATAGCTGACGTAGGAATGCATATTGTTGGCGGTTGGACTGTCGGCGGTGTAGGTTGTCGGACGACAATTGGGGGTGGATTTATTGGAGAAGGCTGTGGCTGCGTTACAGTGATTGGTGACGGTTGAATTGGTGCTGGTTTCGGTGGCCTTACAACAAGGGGTTTTGGTTGGATTGGAGCAGGCCGAGGTGGACGTACGCAGATAGGAGGGGGTGTTATAGGGGGCAAAGGTGCAGGCCTTACAACTATACGTGGTGGCACTATAGGTGGTTGTTGCGGGGGTTGCACAGTGATAGCAGCAGGAGTGATTGGACGAAGTGGAGCTGGTCTAACTAAAATGGAGGGTGGCTGAATGAGTACTGGAGGAGAATGGGTAATATAAAATATTCCACCTGGTACTTGTATAGCTTGGAAACCTGCTGAGCGTAATTTTTCAGGAATGCTTGATTTCGATAATATGACTCTAATCGGTCCATTGCCACCAGGAGCTGCAATAATATTTAATTGTTTAATAAAATTCATAAAGAACAGTTTTAAATGATCACTTTTATACTTACTTGGTGGTGGCAGGTTGGGGTCGGCGGGTTGTGATGGACGTGGTAATGGGCAAGGTGGGTTATTTGTTTCTAAACAAGGTGGTTCAGATAAAGGTTCAGGGCATGGTGGAATAAAAGGTTCTGGGCACGGTGGATAGCAGGGGCTTGGTTCTGGGTCGTAACATGGCTCAGCATATGGTGGTAATGTAAACGGTGCTGGTGCTGCCGCCGTTGAT